CGTTATTGCAGCGGGAGCTGCGCCCGTGCTCAAGAGCCACGCCAGGCTCCTCACCGGCTGGCCGACGCCTGCTATGCATCCTCCTGCGATCAATTTAGAAAGCGAGAGACCAATCTGCACGAAAGCTCTCCGTTGCTCCTCGGCGCTTGTTCGCACCTCCTGGTGCCGTTTCATAATGCTATTACACCTGATTTCGATTAGTCGCCGGAAATGAATATGTGGCGTCTACATGTGTTGCGTGAGTGGTGTTGGCGTACTAGAGAGGGCCTGCGTGTGGATGGCGCTTGCATACTATACGCATGCGCGCTCGCATGTGTGTGTGTGTGTGTGTGTGTGTGTGTGTGTTGTGTGTGTGTGTGTGTGTGTGTGTGTATGTGTGTGTGTGTGTGTGTGTGGTGTGTGTGTGTGTGTGTGTGTGTGGTGTGTGTGTTGTGTATGTGTGTGTGGTGTGTGTGTGTGTGTGTGTGTGTGTGTGTGTGTGTTGTGTGTGTGTGTGTTGTGTGTGGTGTGTGGTGTGTGTGTGATTCGGTGTGTGCGTGCGGGAGCGTGTGTGCATGCGATCGCAAGTTGAACTAGAGTTTATTATAGTAAATTATATAACCAATATCTTCATATACGTGATAAGCAAAGCATCGTAATGTTTTGACTACCGGTGAATAAATTTTTCTCGTCTGCCGATACCCACTAACGTATCAGATGTTTCGACTAATTATATGATTAAAGTAACTTTGAAACATGGTGTTAATTGGGCATTAAATTTTAATATAGGTTAGCCATGAACCGACGATTTTAAATTACGGATCTATTTGTTGTGTATTCAAGATATTACAATTATCATATATAAGTAGTTTATTTTATTTATTTATTTTGTTTATTCGTTTATTATTTTGTTCTGTAAACACGCACATGCAGGCTAAAATGCAGAGAAACTTCCTTGTAGCAATGTGTTATCTTCTTGTCACTTTATATTAACTCATACCATCAAATATTCATAACATCGTTTGTTAACACATGAAAACACAAAGTTTTATATAATGAAATTTAATTATTTCTTATGACGAACAATTATACGCCGTAGCTAACACACGCGTATAACAAACAGAGTAACAATTAATATTTACAACGCAGTACATAGATATCGAGAATACATTAACGTATACATTAAAATATAAAATAGTATGCTAGTCTATGCAAAAGATGGGTTGCACATAGTACTACAACTGATTATGCATAATATTATATATCGATGTACGTACTATTTCGACGCAAAGGGCTATATATTAGATTACAATTATGCTTCTTCTTTAGCACCAAATGTAAAATATATGTCTACATCTTTAAAGTACAGGTATACAGTAATTTATATCCAATAAGGCGGTAAGCAGAGCTGTTATAAAGTAACACTGTGCCCTATTTTTAATCGTTGTTTAATCGATATACATTTGGCATAATTATCATCGGTAGCTGCTGGAAATTCGCATTAGCCAAATCGTGATTAACTAAATATTATAAGCTAATGACTAATAACAGACAACTGTCATCACGAAAACATTTCCTCGTAACGACTGCCAAAAAATATCGCGCTCGCTTCCAACCCTGGCGATTTTTGAAATTATCCATTCCCGATCCCACGACGGTTCACTAGCCGATCGGTGCCCATTAACGCAGTTTTAGAGCCAATGAGAGTTTTATGCCCGTTAGGTTACACGCGATGCTAAATAAGACGCTGACGCGTTTGCATCTTCTCACCGATGCCATTCACCTACCGCGTCGCTCGTGAATCCTCGCTAGCTGCGCCACGGACGCGACCGTTCGAGTTACGATCTCCCCTAGCGCTAAAACTATAGCCATTCGCTCTAGAGCTACGATCTCCCCTAGTATAGCTCTAAAACTATACCCGCTTCACTCTGCCACAGGCCTGTGGCAGAGCGAATGGCTATAGTTCTAGAGCTACTATCTCCCCTAGTATAGCTCTAGAACTATAGCCCTATAGAACTGTGGCAGAGCGAATGGTTAGAGTTCTAGAGCTACGATCTCCCTAAGTATAGCTCTAGAACTATAGCCCTATAGAAACTGTGGGCAGAGCGAATGCTATAGTTCTAGAGCTACGATCTCCCTAGTATACATAGCTCTAGAACTATAGCCCTATAGAACTGTGGCAGAGCGAATGGCTAGAGTTCTAGAGCTACGATCTCCCCGTGCGAGGCGCGAACGAACGCTGTACATATCCTACACGCGCGCGCGGTAAAGTTGGTTATTACGAAATTAACCCGATCAGCACGGCGTCGCTCCTCTCAAGCTACTCCTTACGACAATACAGATGTTGTGATTTATATAATTTAAATATAATATTGTCTGTTTGGAATGCAAACAGAAGCTAGTTTCGTCTGCAAATATACAAGGCGACTACGCGGCAGCGCTCGCCTGCTGGTGCGTGCTCCCGCCACGGCCGTGTCGGTCGGCCCACGCCAGCCCTAACTCCAACATATGGAGGTAATGTAAAAGCCAGCCGATGCCATTCGATGGTGAATGGGAGCATTGATAGCGAGACAGGGTCGGGCGAGGGACGGGCACAGCAAGCGCGAGGTCGACGCGAGTCCGTGTAACGCTAAAGACAACATTCGGTAATTTTTCGCCCCGAGTCGGTGATTGTCGCGCCGTGTCTCTGTGAAAAAAGCAGCATTTTTCTACGTACGTTAACTTGCGTCTAATAGTTTCACGGGTTTGTGTGTAGGACTGTGCATGTACACGCATAATTACTACTAGAATACACTATAAAGCGAATCGGAATAATCGACGCTTAAATTACTGGGAGAATTAGTGAATACGCGTTACCTATTTTGTGTCTTTATACACACAATGCATAATGCTTCGTTGTTATATGTTTCCCATGTCATGTATCCATTGACGGAGTAATACGCATTATTTAACATACAGCTATAAAACAACAAACAATCATAAAGAGAGCTGTTTCAAATTTGCCCATACGCACAATACGGCCATGTTTAAGCTATACGTTCTCGTCTGCTATTGAATTCACCGGATCTCCTCTACTTACTCGGGTAGCAACTCCTTATTCCATTCTCTAGGAGGCCGATCATGAATATATATATATGAAAATCTAGAAATGCATCACATTCCACATCTGAAATTCTCACACCTAATACGTACTAATAATAAACAAACAAATGTTGATGCTGGCCAATATTTGGGTGCTAACTCACTGATGTGTTAGTTATGTATAGGACGATCAGTATTACATGCCTCTATAAAACTTAAGTATTTTACTGCTATATACATACGTAATATACATCCTGCCATATACAAAACTTTGGCAAATTTTTTTGGCAACTTTGTTATAACAAAAACGTTTAACTCCTGTATACCGTGTGCAAACAACAATGCCACTAACACCAGCGATGCATAACCTCATAAGGCAATTCGCAAAACGAATTTCATCTCTGTCTAGCTCATCTAAAATGAGATGAAATTTGTTTAGGCGAGTTTCCTTATTGCCATCTAGACTAGATGGCACCGCATTTTGTTTCGTAGGGCGCAGTATAGTGGTTGACAGGCCAGGATCCAGGGTTGTTGGTGCCGCCTGGCTGAAGATTCATGGTACTTCCGCCGGAGAAGTATTGTGGCTTCCTGTCGTACATTCCCGGATGTTGGAAGTTTTGCGGCTGTACTCGTATTCCTGCAACGAATGAAGAGACCAGTTAGGTACGGTGCGTGCGTACGTCTATTCGCCCGTGCGTACGTGCGTGTGCGCGTGCGCGCGCGCGCGTGCGTGTACGCGTGTGTGTATGTGTGCGTGTGTGTGTGTGTGTGTGTGTGTGTGTGCCCCTCCGCCCGTATCATCGAGATGCAATGCCGTGCTGCTAAAGCGCAAAGAAATTGTTCTACTAAAATAGATAATTGTCGTACGTGTCAGCAATGATGGCTGTATCAATGTACTCAAAAAGTGCGCTCAAACAACCTATCTCCTGCTATCTACATTTTTTAATTAATTTCTTGAGGGAGTACAATTTCCATACCACGCCTCCTTTTCCACCCGCCTCCATTTTTTTTAGAATCCTGGATCCCGCCACTGATCGTGTGATGGCTACTTCACCAATGTATCAAGGTTTCTTAACAAACAGTATAATTACAGTTAGTATAACTCATTTTTCCATTTATTTTAACAGAAACCATCGTCAGCCGTTGTTTCTGCTTGTTCTCCTGAAACCTTACTTTCACGAGCAAGCATACAAGGCTGACTGCGCCGAGCGGAGAACTGGCGAAATTAACTACGTGAATAAAATTCCCGAAAACGGGTTAGACAGCACGCCCCGTAGCAATCATCACGTGAACACTCAGTTATAAACACGGTATTGGCGCGTTCAAGCGCTACAGCGCGCGATCGCAGCCAACGCACTGTTTTAGTTCATTGTTTTGATCCTAAACTCTGAGTCTGTATACTTATGCTAATCGATGCATAGACGAGGTGACCCGTCTAAGGCAATATTTACATACTGTGAGTATATTCGACTCATAACTTTAAAACATTATACGCATTTTCTTCCTGTCGCTAACTAACTAATTTTAGTCTACTTACGCATACTTATCTATAATCATAATCAGGAGTAAGATAATATAGAGGAGTATGACTCTCCAAAACTGTGAATTTCACACATTTGCTTGCCTAATTTACCGATGATATATTTACCTGCCAACTCGCGATAGAATATTACAGTCAAATGATGCGTTGGACATCCGTCTCTAACTAAGAAACTTTACGTTTGGTTTAAATATCCTCTTGCCTTTACGGGAGAATATACGCTATTGAACGTCGAACATGGCCTTCATAGTGCTTTTAATCAAGCTGGCGGCTCAGATTGCCACAAATGATAGCTTCGGAAATCAGTGGCTTAGCTCTGCTGAGGAATGGTCTTGTCCTTGTTGGACAAGAATTGCCACCTCGTTGGCGGCAGGAGTAGAATAAGATAGACATTAATAAATATAAGAAATATAGTATAGTGTGTATATATATAGTGTGTATATATGTGTGTATATATATATTACTGTATATATTATATCTATAGAGATAATATATATAGTGTGTATGAATATATTATAGAATATAATATAGAAGTCTATATATCTTACTCCTGCCGCCAACAGGTGGCATTCTGTCAACAGAACAAGACCATTCCTCACAGGCTAGCCACTGTTCCGAAGCTATCTGGGCAATCTGAGCCGCCAGCTTAGTTAAACACTATGAACCATGTGTGACGTTCAAAGCCATATCTCCGTAAAGGAAGCAAGAGGTATTTAAACAAAGTAAAGTTTTAGTTAGAGACGGATGTCCCAACGCTCATTTAGATGTAATTTTTATCGAAGTTGCACGTAATATATCATCGGTAAAATTAGGCAAGCAAAGTTGAAATTCACATGTTTTGGAGAGTCATACTCCTCTATATTATCTTACTCCTGATAATAATCACATTTTCAGCGATAAAAATCTTTTGCTGACTCTAAATGAACTTGATAAATAGAATTCGAAAATGTGCTTCATAATATGGAAAGCCATCCCCTTCAAAATCATTTTCAAACATTTCAAATACACAATTTTAAATCAATTTAAAACATTTCAAATTACGCTAATAAAAATAAAAATTACTTATATATTGTTCAAGAAAATTATATTAAAATGGCAGCGCTCACTAGAAGCCCCTATGTTCTTGATTATCCTAGGAAAAAAATCACGGCCTGCGAGAAAGATGTGTTTGTTTACAGCAGCGCTGTAGACCACAGGCCACTTGAAGCGTTTCAATTAAATATAATGGCTAAATAAACAGAAATCTATTTACTACCAAAGTAACCAGTACAGCGCTTCCCGCAGGGTGGAAAATCGGATCTCCGAAAACTCCAATAGCGATCCATCCGAGCTGAAGCATCTGGGCCTTTTTAGAATGAATTGATTGAAGTTTGGGTTTGTAGTTGGCTGTTCGGATGAGAGGAAGTCAGTGTAGTGAATAGATCGCAAGTCCAATATGAATATATTCGAAGTTTCCTGAATAGTGTTACACACAGACCGAAACAACAGAGTGGGGCGGCAAATTGTAAACGTTAGTAAGTGATTTCAGAGGTCTTGAATAGATTGGAAGTTGCATAAATTGGTTGTTAAATAAGCTCTTTGATTGTAAACGTTTATATATGTTTTGAAAGCTGTATGATTAATTGGTAATTTAAGCTATACATTTGTCGTTTGTTACCTAATAATTCTGAAACCAACAGATAGATTCGCATTTCTGGTGATTAATGTTAAAAAGTAAATAAATTAATTTCAAACTTAGTGAACTGATTCGTTATTCTGTAAATTAATTTAAAACATATAATTTCAATTGTTAGGGTGATGAAGCAAGATTTCAACAATTGTGAGTTTATGTAACATATGTTCTCAATTAAATTGCAAGTTAGTAAATTGGTTTGTTGTTTTGAAAATAAATTGTACGTTTAGAAAATGATTTTTACAAAGATGTTAAGGAATTTGTACATCAGGCAATTATTTTGGAAAGTTGTGAATTAATTTGCAAAGTTAATAAATTGATTTGTTATTTGTGTAAAATTGATTTTAATTTTCTTGAACCTTATAAGTATTTGTATTTTTATTAATTAATTTGAAATGTTTTAAATTGATTTAAAATTGTGTATTTGAAATGTTTGAAAATGATTTTTGAAGGGGATGGCTTTCCATATAATAAATTGCGCAAAAGCTTTGAAAGTTTGAAAGTTACCAGAAAATGACAGCCGTAGGCGAACTATCAAATTTCGCGTGATCCACAGAAATTTGGGTAGTCGTCCTCCTTTGGATGTATGCGTGTTTAGTAGCAGTATATATATATATATATAAATAAATAAATATATAATATATATATATCAGGCTAGATATATCCTATTACTACTCCTGATATATATATATATCAAGAGCTAATAATACTTATTATTAGCTCTTATAGCTCTTCATATAATATATATATATAATATATTATAATATATATATAATATATTTGGTATTACATATGTGTGTGTGATATATAATTGTGGAGGCCCGATCTCAGCGGGGTTCCCTCACTACCAACTTCAGAAAAAAAAGCGAGGAATAGAAATCTAGAGATCTGCTGTAACCTCCTGCCTCTGTCGATCGTCTGACGAGGTGTAAAACGCGCTCACCGCTTTCGCCGACGTAAACATCTGGCGATTTCATTAGATGGACAGACAACGATCAATGGCTGCACGTGTGCGCCGTCGAGTTGACCTTATCGTGCCAGCGTCTGGCCCCTGCCAGAGTTTTGCCCCGAAACCCTGCTCGATGCTACCTCGCATGCTCGGCATTCCACACCCGAGTAATGTCTGAGAGATCTAAAGGCTTCATATTGGCCATTCTGCGCACGTGTGCTGCACACGGTGGCTTTACGGAGAGGGGGTCGAGAGGAGGAGGAGGGGATAGAGGGAGCATGTAATGTTGAGTGTAGTATAGGGGCTGAGATTGCTCGTGTACGACTAGGGATATCGGCATGTTGTTGTTGTTACAGGCTGCGAATGCCACCAGAGTCGCGGCCCCGCAGTAACCGATACGGCAACAGGCGATTTAGCCGCTCTAATACCAGCAATTAAACTGGAAATGATCACAAAAGTGGATCAGAGAGAATCGAGTGCGCCTAAGCCCTGACATGATAATTAAGTGCTCGCTCGCTCAGCGGGAGGTGCAGGGCTTTCGCGCGCGTTTGAAGACGCGGTAGCTGCTACTCGCTGCGCTGCTGTTGCTGCCTGCTGCTGCTGCTGCTCGCTGCTGCTGCTGCGGCTGCTGCTACTGCTGCTGCGGCTGCGGCTGCGGCTGCTGCTACACTGCTACTGCTACTGCTACTGCTGCTGCTGGCTCGCCTGCTGCTGCTGCGCTGCGGCTGCGGCTGCTGCGACTGCTGCTGTCGCTGCTGCTGCTGCTACTGGCGCTGCTGCTGCTGCTGCTGCTACTGGCCTACTGCTGCTGCTGCTGCTGCTGCTGCTGCTGCTACTGCTACTGCGCTGCGGCTGCTGCGACTGCTGCTACTGCACTGCTGCTGTGGCTGCTGCTGCTGCTGCTGCTGCTGCTGCTTGCGCTCGCTGCTGCTCTGCGCTGCTGTGCTGCTGCTGCTGCCTCCCGCTGTGCACGTCTGCGCATTTCTCGCGCGTGTTACCAAGAGTAGATAATATAACTTGTTATTATCTACTCTTGGTTACGTAGAAACAACAACAGGCGCGCGGGAGGTATCAGGAATCACAGTAGCGGGTAAAGGTCGCTCGCGCACAAAACATCGCCGCGTAATGCTAAATCCGTCACGAGATATAGAATAATCTCAATTTTTCGAATCGAAATTATGTGTTATATAGTAACCATTGTTATATTCAATAATAGTTAGCTATATGTTATGGTTACCAGTATATATGCTTGAATCGGTTGTGCATATCTGTTTAACGCGAGCGATTAGTTCGCATTTTACGTTGCAATTAAAGATAAGTTGGTCACAATTAGCCGCTTGGCATGCCCGTAATAGCAACTATACTGTTCGTATCGAGAGCTAATAATACATGTTTAATTAGCTCCTGCTCATTATCATAGCGTTGCTGATGGTACTTTACACAGCAATTTCTGATTTCTAGATACCTAAACTTCGC